AGTATATTTTATATGACAGTTCATGGAGTCTCTGACCAGGGAACTAGATACCCTTGCCCAAAGAAGTTGACCTCTGGGGCAGATTAAGGGAAGTTTCCAGTGGTTTAAGGGAGTCGCCTGGTAAACAGACCCCTCCCCCCCAACCAGCATTTAAGCCTCTGTTTACCCAATAAGAATCCTTCTGTTTACCTAGGCCAAAGTCCTCCTGTTTACAACATCGTCACCAGCACTGCCATTCCTGCCCCCCCACCCCCGCCTCTCACTTTGGATCTAACACTAAGGACCTATAGAATCATAATAGACGGTGGAGGCTAGTCAAGGGACTAGGCACCTGGTTTTTGTTTCGTTTTGTTGTTCATTTCCTTACTTTGAGTTTAAGAAGGAAGTTCCCTAAAAGAAAGTGGCGAAAGCGTTTCTACCTCACTCACCTATGGCAAGCCCAGAAGAAAAAAGAGGGAAATTCTCTTAGGAGTTTGGTAAGCTTCCCAGCAGGACAGATCACAGCACCTGCGGCTAAATTTTCGGCAAACTAAACAAAACAAGGTCTGATAATGAAATAATAGGCACTGCATAATATTCCTCAAAAAACATTTAAAAGGGATCTTATTTAATTATCTGGTCTTCTTATTCTAGGAAGAAATCTCCATGAGAGCAACGGCTGGTGGGGTTAGATAATCATGCTCAACTTTCAAAGTAAATTCTTGATGGCCCAGATAAACACTACCACTAATTTCCCAGCTAATCTGTGAAGATATTCAGTCCAGATTAGAAAATAATAACGGCCATTTGTAGACAGCTCTCCAAGGCCCCACTTGGGTTGTGTGGCGATCCTTGAGCACATGGGCACAAGGAAGACAAAGACTGCCTCTGTGACCTCAGCCATAATCTACTTCCTAAGATGTGACCTCACATTCGGGGCTTGAGCTACTGCTACCATCACTGCAACAAATTATGACTCAGGATGAGGATTTCCTCATCACACTGGCCTGTTCCTGACCCCACTGGGGGCAGTGTAAACTCTGCTTAGTTCCCAGTATGTGGAAACAGTTCACGCTCTCTCAAGAAATTTGTATTTGTTTATCTGTAGAGAGGGAAGAACGTCACTTTACTGTGACCTTGAAAGACAGCTCTAGACAGTGGTGTTTTGTGGATTGCGTTGGGTGGGCTACTCAGTCTAGGGGTTAGTAACCCACCTGCAATCAAGTTATTCCAGGGTCTCGGAGGGGCGCTACCTGGAAGGGAGTGAGCTAAGACAGAAGAACGAGGCCAAGCAACTTTGTCAAGGCCTCAGTTTATTAGGGACGGGTTACAGTTTATATATGGTAAGGGATGAGGGGCAGGGTACGGGATCTCGCAGGCCGCGTGGTTCCGGTCACGTAGCTCGGTTACATTCAGACAGACAGGCCAGAAGTCACAAGTGGCCACACCTGGTTCCCTGGATAGCTGGAATGTGAGGCGGGTTCCGCTAAGATTAGCAGTTAATTGGGTGAGGGGCAGGTTTTGTCAATAGAACATAACTATGGGTGTGAGGTTCTCTGCAGACTCCCTAGAGTGATGGTTCCTGTAATGATTGTTAGGGGGGAAATGGCTCCTGACAGTGTTTCGTTTTGGATATGAATTTTTATATATGACATGATGAAATGATGCAAGAAAAGATCTGTGCTTATTAAGGACCATCTTAAGAAAGAATTTTCCTTTTAAAACAAACCATTGCTTACAGATTTTCTGGCTAGCCTAACTCCTGTGTACTCTTCTCTCTCAAGTCTGCATTTATGACCACAACTTCTGGCATGCCTGGAGGCCTCCCCGTATCTGCCTTCATCGGCACACAATGAAGTCCATAATGTTCTACTGCAGTAACGAGTACATGTATGAGGGTTTCCTAGGGATTAAACTCAGGAGCATAGCATGTGCTATGTTAATTAAGCCACATCCATTGCCCAGAGTAGACATTATTCTAAAGTCAAAAACTACAGATAAAGAAATATAAGGATATAGAGATAAAAATAAACCCCCAAATACCAAGATTAAGAGGGTTTTGTACAGTTTTGACCCAATAAACCTAATCGTATTATTTGGAAATCTGTATTGAATGACTTCTGTGGGTGGAGTTTCTCTATGTCTCAGCAGCTGCTCCCAAATAAACACAGAGGCTTAATATTAATTATAAAACCTCGGCCAATAGCTCAGGTTGTTGAAATAGGAGCGGTGGGGCTGCGTCCCCAGCACCCCAGCCGCCTGCTAGCTTATGCCCGAAATAACAACACACAAACTGTATTCATTTAAAGACTGCTTGGCCCATTTCTATCTAGCCTCTTCTAGGCTAATTCTCACATATTAATTTAGCCCATTTCTGATAATGTGTGTAAGCACCCCAAGGTGTGCTTACCAGGAAGATTCTAGCCTACGTCCATCCTGGGTCGGAGTTTCCTGGGAGAGCGGAGCCTGGCGTCTCTGCTCCAGAGAGCAGAGCTGTCGAGTCTGTCTGAGGAGTCTTACCTCACTTCCTCTTCCTCCTGTTTATTCCTCCCACCTATGTTTTAACCTATCAGGGCAAGCAGTTTCTTTATTTAATTAACCAATGAAATCAACAGATTGATATATGACACTCCCACATCAATAAGGGTATAGAGATAAAAAATAAACCCCCAAATACCAAGATTAAGAGGGTTTTGTACAGTTTTGGCCCAATAAACCTAATCGTACTATTTGGAAATCTGTATTGAATGACTTCTGTGGGTGGAGTTTCTCTATGTCTCAGCAGAAGCTCCCAAATAAACACAAAGAGGCTTAATATTAATTATAAAACCTCGGCCGATAGCTCAGGCTTATCTTCAGCCAGCTCCTTACAACTTAAATTAACCCATATGTCTTATCTAAGTTCTACCACATGGCTCATGGCTTATTACCTCATTTTCTATATATCCTGCTTCCTCAACTGGCTGGCATCTCTTCTGACTTCATACTTTATCCCAGCATCCTTTCTGCCCCGAAAATCCTGCCAAGCTATCGGCCAATCAGGTTTTTATTAACAATGAAAATAACTCATTTTCAAAGTGTACAGAAGGATTATGCCACAGTAGATTTAAACTATCACTCAGTCAAGATACCTGGGGTTAATTTGCATAGAAAGTAAGAATTAAATTCTATGAATTAATTCAGCTCTTAGAAGTAGTGGAGTGTAACATAGAAAATCATGCAAACAAACAAAATAGCCAAACTATAAATCCATAATAAAAAAAATAGTGCTTTCTCCTGTAAGTTTATGGATAAGGAATCTAAATATTGTAGGTATATAAGAAATATATACCTTTACTTCATTCCTTTATTTAGCATTTACCCCTCTGGCTAAGCACTCTGTAAGTTATAGTTCCTATTTAAATGTCAACTCTATATTTTTTAAGCTTTGTTTTTAGCGTATGTGAGGTGAGTGGATTGAACTTGGACTTTGAAAGCAAACAGACTGGATCAAATCTGATTCTGTTTCCTAGTGTGCCTTGTTGGGCTTCCCCACTGAGAGGGCCCCTCCTCGGCAGAATGGAGTGGCGCCTTATAGTAAATAGTCTTTCTTAACCTGCTTCCTAATCCTGTACACCTGGAAACTCTCTCCTCGCCCTTCTCTTCCTGCACCCCACCTGGTTCTTCTGTTTGAGGCAGGTTCTTGCTGTGTAGTGCAGCCTGGCCTTAAACTAGAAATCCTCCTTGTTCAACCTTACAGTGTTCCAGTTCCAGTTAGTGCCCCAATAAGGCCACAGAGTATATTCCTCACAAAGGCTGTTGCTGCCCACAGCAAGCTGGGACCAGATCAGGAAGACTGCCATCCAATCAGCTGCTTTGCCATCCCTGGGATGGAGGAGGTCAGCCCAGGAGTGCCCTGAGATACTCAGGCCACACTCCTTGAGAATTTTACTATTTGGTATGTGGAATGAAACGTACACAAAACTGTCCAAGTCATAATTATTGAATAATGTCTTAGTTCCTCATCCTGGTCCAACCTGGTCTCCTGGGGCCCATCTTCATGTCCAAATACTTCTTAGAAGATTGGTGTGCACATGTGCGTGTGAGAGAAAGCGAGAACTACAATCATTTTATATTCTTCTCAACTAATTATTTTGATGACCTTGGAAGGCCTTGCAATATTTAAAGAAAAGTACCATTGACATTTAAGAGAGATAGAGAGATATCGACCTCCATTTCTCAATCTGACACTTGGTTCTGCTGATCTTGTAAACTGGATTATTGTTGTACAACTGTCTTGTATACTGTAGGATAAACTGCTGCTAGGGGACTTCAGTTTTTTCCGTAAGAACCTATTACATTTAAGTCTAAGAGCCACAATGAAGTAAGTGGCAAAGGCACAGCATGTGGGAAAATAACATATACAATTACGCTATTATTTTTTGCTTTTAGAAATTAATCTTATCTAAACACAGTTGCTCAATGTTTATTACATTTCCATTTACACACATGTAATTATTTGACTGTTTTAAATCTGATCACCTATAGAACATAAGTTGTTGTGTTCCAGGCCTAATTATTTGAAGATATCTAATCTAGGATGAATATTTGTATGAATTCAAGTGCATGGGATGGGAGGTAGAGAGTAGGATTAAAATTTGGCATCTGGCCTACTTCACAGTGTCATTATCCATGCCAGTAATTGTGAAACAGTTTGTTTACATAATATGTAATAGGCACAGCTTTTGTTTTTTTGTTTTTTTTTTTTTTAGTTTTGTTTTTTAAATGGAAAGCTGCATGATTTAAAATATCTAGCTACTTGGAATGTAAAACACATGGAATACAAATGTGTAGAATCCTCCCTTTCAGGACAAAGGAAACCATTTCTGTCTGGGAACCAACCCACTCTTATTCTTTCCATCTCCCTGGGTCCCAAGCCTACCACTGAAACCATCCTTTACATTCCTCTAGCAGATAGATGATAGACAGACAGACAGACAGACGGACGGACAGACAGATGGGTTAGATAGATAGATTAGATAGATAGATAGATAGATAGATAGATAGATAGATAGATAGACAGACAGACAGACAGGAGACACCAACACTAAGCTACAGGACTAGCCATATAGTGATACCAATAATAGAGAATGGATGTGTACTCCATTATATCTGCTTTCATGGTGTTGGGAATTTTCCCAGTTAAAGGTTATTTTTTTAACCATGTTTGTAAGAAAGACTTAAGTCTGGTAGGTGCAGATTTAGCCCTTCGTGTCCCAGCCCATCAACTTGGCACCCATATCTTCTTCCCCTGTATCTCATTAGGTAGAAAATGATTCTACAAGGTACGGGGAGTTCGCCTACGTGTCCAGCAACCCACCCACCATGTCCTGGGAGAGCCTGCATCATGTCTTGCTCTTACATCTCCTCCAGTTTCCTACGGGTCTTCATCACTTACTAATCTTCCCAACTACACGAAGACAAGCCCACTTCTACTTTTCAAAAGTCTAAATAAACTAAAGAAAGAGGCAGGGTGTGTGATGTCAGCAGATGAGAGGTAGAGGCAGGAGGATCTGGAGGTCAAGCCTATGTTTGCTCTCAGTAAATCTGGGGCCAGCCTGGGCCACTTGAAACCCTATCTCGAACAACAAAACACATCACTCACAAGAGCTTTGCATTTTCATTTAAATGTTGGCACATCTCAACGGCAAGAGCTCAAATACTACACAGTGCAAAAATATTTACACGTCCTCAACTCTTTTAGTAGTACTGGCAACAGAGAAGGTTTAGGATGAAGGGGAAACCTAACCTTCAGACTCACTTATAGCAGATGAGAAGGGAGAGGTCCCTAATTTTGGGTCTCAATGGCCTCACTGATAAAACTCTGTAAATAGGTCCACTCTCTGGCTTCCCCTAAAACTGAAGTGTGTGGCATAAGGCAGACGCAGCCCAGGGCAGTTTATTAAAACCCGCTGGAGGCCATTAGGCACCGGCTCAGACCCAGGGGAGCTCGAGTCCCCAGGGCACAGCGCCTCCGCTCCCCTCCCAGGATCTCAGCAAAGCCGCCAACGAGGAAACGTAATCGCGTGACGCCCGAAGACCGACGCGCGGTCCGGACTTGCGTCTCTGAAACGGCTGCTACGACAACGACCTTCCTGTGGGTACGCGACAGCCTCCGCTCGGGACCAGACCCGGAGGGCGAGCAGCCCGCGCAGAGTGCTGAGTCACGGTGAGGCGGCACGGCGCGCCGGAGAGGCGGTCGGGCGGTCACGTGGCCGGCGCTACCACAACAACGGCGGGCGTGCGACGACGCGCTGGCGCTGCCGGGCCCGCGCCAGCTCCGCGGCCGGGTTTTCCCGCGGCCGGCGGGCGGGCGGGGCCTGAGCGCGCGCGCGTGCGCTCGCTCGCCGGCTCGGTGGGCGGGCGCACAGAGTTTGCGTGCACGGCTGGGTGCCCCGAGACGCCCAGCTTTTCCTCCGGGATGCGCCTGTGAGGGGAGAGCTGGTTCTGCAAGCTGGGAGCTTTTTCTCCTCTTAGCATCCCCCCACCCCCCTTGCTCCCCCGCTGAACCCTGCCGACGGGTTTGCACTCTGTTCCGTGCCATCCTGGAGACGTGCAGGTGCAAAGAAAGCACTGGCCGAAGGGAGCCGCTTGCTGAACGTTCATTTCGTGGGTGCCTCTTTTCTTTTTGAACCTAGCTAAAGGCACTGCAGGGAGCATGACTTAAAATTTGGCAGATCTGCCCAGTGGCGCCACAGTGTCTGTGCCTAAGTTATCTTCCGGAGTTCTGAGACCTCTGCGTGGGAGTGAACGTTCAAAATTCGGACACGGGGCCTGAGAACTCCCAACGCGATGTTGTGAACCCCAGTCCAATGCGGGTCAACTCAGACCACCGATTAAATAGCCACTACGTTCAGCATCGCGTCGGAATTTGACTGTGCTAGAACTTGTTCAGTTTACTGAACCGTGCAAATCTCTTTTCCTCCTGCCATTGAGTTGAGGCTCTCCCTGGAGACCGCTTCCTGGTCTCTGAGAAAACAGAGCAGGTGTATGGAGAAAGTGCTTTCCAACGTGTAAACAAGTCTGCCCCAGCTGTTTCAACTCAACGAGGTATATATAGCTCGTGCGGGCCACGGGTCAAAATTTTTCAGTCGCCACCTTAAAGAACCGAAAAGAAAATAGTAGAGCAACGTAAATAATGTGCTATTTATTTTAGCCAAACGCCTGAAATCTAGTGTGTCAGCATGTAATAAGTATGATTTTTAGTGAGTTAGTTTTACTTTTGTTGTAAGTCTTCAACACTAGTCTCCTGGGTCACTAAATTTTCATTGGAAGACTTCATTTGCATTTCGAGTCCATAAAATTTACAGTTGAAAATTCAGTGTGTTCACATTCCCAACTTGTTCCAAATCTATGTATAAGTGTCCCTGTTACCGAAAGATGAAATTTTACTGTTTTGGTTGGTGTTTTTTTTTTTTTGTTTGTTTGTTTGTTTTTTGTCTAGGCTCAGGTCTGTGGCAGTCCTATCACAACCTCCAGTGAAGGGGTTTTTACAGATCTGAGACACCACTGCCAAGTGAAATCAATCTGAAACATTTAGCACAAAAAGTTTAATGAAACTAAAAATTCACTTGTTCAGTCACGTCTGTGGCACTCCCAATACTTAATAGCCACTGGAGGCTGGTGGCTATTGTGCTGACTCATGCAGGTGTATGGAAATGGAGGGCGAAATGTTGAGACTAACCAAATGATCCTTGGGTTCGTTTACATACAGGTGAAACAGCTTTGCCCCCTCTCCCCATATCATCTCTTTCCACACAGAGGCTGACACTTATTAAGCAGTAGGCCATATCGAGCACTTTTCTAAAAGTATAACACACACACACGTCAGCTCTACTCCAAAGAAAGTCACCATCTAACATATATAGTGTTATGTGTATATTAGCAGAGGTGTATATGCATACAGACACAAGGCAGAATAACCGGGGCTCACAGACAGAGTGAAGGAGGACCAGAACACAGCAGTTAATGGCCATCCGTCTGCAGGAGGCCTGGTGGGAAGCACACAGTAAGGTAGGGACAGTAAGCAGCAGATGTGAGTGGGTGGGGAAAATTTGAAGATTTTGGTTTTTTTTTTTATTCCAGTCATTAATGTCATCGTCTCCGCAGATATCATCTAACCCATGCACACGCACAATTACATACACCCCCACTGTGGCAATCACAGCACACCTTCAGGTTCCACGGTCCCAAGTTCTTTGATGGGCACATTCAATATGAAGGCAGTGAGAAAATATTCTTGTCATGCATTCATTGATTAGTGTTTACTTAATGTGACTAGTGTTTATTAAACATTAACTCTAAGACAGGTGTAGAAGTTCATACCTATAATTCCAGAACTCGGGAAGCTTCAGGCAGTTCAAGGCCAGGTCGGATTACTAGTGAGATCTTGTCTCTAAGTACATAAAAAAAAAAAAAATGTAACTACAATCTAGGAGAAAGGGTGTAATAAATGTTTTTTGCCCTCTGTCCAGGAATGGATCAGCTAGTTACTGCATATATTTATCCGGTTGCAAAACATTAATCGAACAGTTATTCAGGGGCAAGGTGCTACATTCCCTTCATTCCCACCTAATCCAGCTCTAGTGCCTTCAAGCAGGCATGGTAAAGCTCTCTAACCTGGTGCTGGGTGAATCCTAGGTTTTGAGATAGGGGAACTTCTGAAGATTGCTCCTCACACTGCCCATGTGGAGATAGTCACAAGACTTCTTCTGCAGAATGAATGATGTCTGTACCAACCAGATCCTATCATAGACAAATAGTTAACTTAGACGATTTACAGTAACTGCATCTATATGCTGGACCCCTTGTAGACACATGAATTCATGCAAATCACCAGCAATCGATTCTACACATCCAAGCCATGTACAACACCCATTAAAAAGTATTACTCTAACTTTATACAGGTTCGAAGAGTTGAGTAGATATTCCAGCTGACTCCCGAGGTAATATTTTTCACCACACATCTTTTTGTCTCTCACCATGTTGTAAGCATGAGGCCCCCTTCCCACTTAAAAAACAATCTGGTCTGCTTTACATCCCATGCCATCATTTTTTCTTGACCCGGATTTTTATCTCTTGGGATTATGACTTCCCTGTTCTTACTCGCTGATAGCCAGGCCACCCGCGAACGCCCACGGCCTGAGCCCCGCCCCCGCCTCAGGCCCCGCCCCCGCCCCGCCGCTTCGGTCCCCGCCCCCGCCGCAGCCTATAAAATCCGGAGCGCGGCGCACGGAGCGGCAGGCGCGGAACTGGGCATGCTCGGTGCCGGCGCAGCTTTGCTTCGCAAGTAGGAAGCCAGTGCACGACACCGGCGGCGCCGAGTGGAGCGCTGCCGCGGCGGCCTGGGCCGCAGGGCGGGCGTGGGAGCGCGAGACCGGGCGGTGGCGAGAGACCGCGTCCCGGGCTGTCACCCGCGCGGCGGGGTCCGAGCCGGAGCGGGAACGGACGGGACTCCCGCCGCGCGGCCCGAGGGCGCCCCCAGGGCGGAGCTGCGGCCGGGAGGAGGACTCGGCCATGGGGCTGCTGTCCCAGGGCTCGCCGCTGAGCTGGGAGGAGACCAAGCGCCACGCCGACCACGTGCGGCGGCACGGCATCCTCCAGTTCCTGCACATCTACCACGCCGTCAAGGACCGGCACAAGGACGTGCTCAAGTGGGGTGACGAGGTGAGCCCGCGCGCCTTTGTTCGGCCAGGCCGCCCGCGGCCCCGTCGCCGGCCGGGCTCGGCGCTGCGCCTGGAGCTCATTCATTCTTGTCAGGACGAAAGCCGCTCGGATCCTGGGAGGGCCTAAGTGGGAGGGGTGTGTGTGTGCGTGAGTGTGTACCTGCCTCCCGCAGCCCCGTCACACCATTCACCTTGGAGATGAGTGTGTGAACGGGACTAACTTGCCCCGGTTGGCTTGCTGTCACGTTTTATTTCTCCGGGGTGTTTGCTTCGGCCCTCCATCATCTAGGTTCTTTTTAAACGGCTGTCACAAGACACACCTGTCCGCCAACTTGAGTGCTACGTTTAAACAAATACATTGCTAGATCCAAGGGCTTGGGGCGGTCTCTCAACAGTCCGGAAGACTTAGCTATCCCGTTTAACTGTAAATGCTTACAACTTCAAGGTTAGGGAAGGCTGGTTAGATCCTGCAGCTAAACCAGTCAGTGCTGAAACCTGTTCACGGTCTCTTGGGACCCGTTTTTTGGAATCAAAATCGACAACGCTAAAACTGTTGTTTCTTTAGTTTTATGCGTTTCTTGGTTTTTTTTTTTAACACACTGATATAAGATACATAAAGTTAAATGACCTCTCGAGGAGTCTGCCCCTTTGTTGTGTGAGTTTGGCATTTACCATAGATAACGTGCCGCTCCCGTAATAATAGTATTATCACCCTTGGGCTAAGTTTCAAGTATTGCTGCACCAGCATGGACTATCTTCTTGCAAAACGTTAATTTTTCTGTGTCTCGTGTTGGTAGATGACTCTGCCGTCTGCAGCTGGAAGAGTTATGCTTGAACTAGGAAAGTATAAGGACTAATAATTCACATTTCTACAAGAAAAAAAAGGGACATGTTTGGCTGTTCTCCAATTGTAGTCTAAAGTTCTGTTTATTTGCAACATCTGACAGTTATTCATCTGGGTTTTGTGTGTCGTTTTACAGGGCAGGGACATGCTTCTCGTTCACCTGTTTTTTCAGAGGGCTTAACCGTGTGCCTGGTATGGTTGGCAGCAAATTGTGGCATCCTTTGAAGTTGTCATGGAACTAGCCACTCTTGAACAATCAATTTATTTTTGCATTTTTTTTTTGACGTTTAACTAGGACTCCATACTCCATTTAAAAAAAAAAAACGGGAGGGGTAGTTAATGTCTTTGTAATTGTTGTTGCGGGTAGAACTACGTCCAGAGGAGATGGGTGCAGTTGAAGCACAGCTGTGCACCCCAGAGAGCCCCTTCCTCCTTGTCATTTCTCTAACCAGGACTGCCTGGATCCTCTCTCGGGGTGGGGGGGGGTGAGTGCTCCCCCTGTTGGCAAGAAGAGCATGTACAACTACCTGTTTGAAGTGGCTTGCCCCTGCTGAGTAAGCCGGCCTGAGAAGAGCTGTAGAGTAGGCCCGTCAAATGTATATGTACTGCACACAATTCCCTCATGAGAGGCATTGGTGGGTGGTGTTAGGACGAGGTTTGCCTTTCTCCCCACAAACGTTCCAAGGAGTGGAGCAGCCTGGCAGCCCTGGGCACTTGTCTTCTGTCTGTACGAGTTCAGCATTGTAGCCAGTTAACACTTGGTGTTGTTTTCTAAAGACAGATTACGTCTGTGTAGCTCTGGCTGTTCTGGAACTCTATCTGTAGACCAGGCTAGCCTTGAGCTCACAGAGATCTGCCTGCCTCTGCCTCCTGAGTGCTGGGTTTAAAGACTTCTGCCACGATCACCAAGCCAGTTAACACTTTAGGCCTGTCTGTTGGGAAGTTTGACTTTGGAGGTGTGTGTAATCCTCTAGTAAGGTGCCTGACTAAAATGGCTCCTACGTGATATGATGTCAAGGATGTTCTGTGAAAACTTAGTGGCTGCTGAAACTACATTTTCAAATTTCTTTTTGCAAATACTCTGTCATAACTGATATATAAATCTATAAGCCGAATTTTCCCCAGCCTTCCAGTGTTGAGAGTTTATTTGAAAATAGCCTGACACTCGGAAGAATTAGAATTTCGAAAGGTTCCTAGGAGGCAAAGTCCCTACCCTGCCATTTCTCCTGAAATGGCTCTTCAGTGAAGCATTGCTCTCCTCCTCCTGGGTTCAGACTCCTGCCTTTGACCTTCAGAGTGCAGATACTGAGCCTCTCCTAGACTCTGGTGGTTCTTCCACTTCTGGCGGTCTCCTGCTGGAGTATTTGTTGATGTCAGCACAAGTCCTTGTGCATGGGGAGAGTTTGCTGTCGCATACCCTGAGAAGTCTGAAGGCTGGTTGGTTCCTACACACAGTCTAAGTAGAAGCCGTGGGAATAACTGAGAAACAGACTGAGCAGATAAAAATAGAGAAAGGTGTGGTGAGTGGTATGGGTCCTGGAGATGAGGACCAGCCCTGCTGGTAGAAGTGTTTTAGGTTGATATGTTACGCTGGGTAGGCCTGATACCAAATATTACTTTACAATAGCAGTTTTCAGCTTGTGGGTCATGACCCCTTTGGGGATCACATGTCAGATATCCTGCATATCAGATATTTACGATTCATAACAGTAGCAACATTACAGTTAAGAAGTAGTAACGAAATAATTCTATGGTTGAGGTCACCACAATATGAGGAACTGTAGTAAAGGGTCACGGCATTAAGAGGTTGAGAACCACTGCTTTACAAGGTTTGACGTTGCATCTATTGGGCCCTGGGCTTGGTTGGAAAAAAACAGAAAGAACTGCAGCCAAACCTTAAAACTGGTCATGGTTGTGTTTGGAAGAGAGCCTGCCTCTTCAGAAATGTGCGGCTCTGTGTACGAGGACAGTGTTTATATCGCCACATGAGAAAGAACCTTGTGTCTAGTGCTTGCCAAACTGAGTTGAATCTTGAACCTGCTTGCTTCACTTTCTCTTATTTCTTCAAGCCTTCAAGTTCAGGTATGTACAGTTTGGCGAGGTATTTGTTTGTTGGTTTTATTTTTATTTTTGGGTGGTTTGTTGTTTGTTTTTAGGCTGTTTCCCTTGGAACCATGACTGGCTTCGCTATTTTGTTTGTCTTTTCTTATTCCTATGCATGCCTATTTCACCTTTAGTGTGACAGATTCTACTTCTAGCCACCATTTATTACGCTGTTTCTTTAGGAAATGGAATTTTAACTTGAAGAACCAGGTACAGGTTTTGTTTATAGCTCGGTGAGTGTGTAGTGTTGGAAGAAGCTGGGTGTGGTGGCACACTTCTTCAACCCTCCCCCCCATCCCCCCACCCTCAGTGTCCAGGAGGCACAGGCATGGGATCTCTCTGTGAGGTCAGCCTTGTCTATGTAGTAAGAGGTCAGCCTGGTCTATGTAGTGAATTCCAGGACAGCCAGGGCTACATAAAGAGACCCTGTCTCAAAGAAACTAATAAATACTGATGCAGAGCTAGAGACACAGTTCATTTAGGGAGTTCTTTCCTAGTATACCTAGGGCCCTTGGTTTAATCTCCACTATTCCCAGAAAAGAAAGGGAATTTATTGATCTGGGAAATCTATATAGCAATAACTAACTACTTTTTATTATTACTGTCAACTGTGTATACAGCCTTTTCTGTTACTTAATAGCAGAACTGAAACCTGATTCTAAAATTTGGCATGTTACCAAATCCCCTTTTACAGCCCTCAAACGAAGCAGGCCATGGTGCTGTCATGGTGTGCATGGAGCAAGTGAAGTTCTGAGTGAACATGTATGCTTGAGTTGAGTCATGTCAAGTGAAGTTCTGAGTGAACATGTATGCTTGAGTTGAGTCATGTCAAGGACCAACCAAAGCCTCAGACTCCTGGGAAATTGACAAACTTTCCTCTGATCTCAGTGGGAATATTGACTGTGTGTACAAGTAGAGTATTTTTACATCCTGTGTGTAGTTGGTACTGCACCATCAGAGTGAGCATAGCTTTTCTGTGTGTCTGTCCTTTTCTTCATCTCTGCCCCAAATGTGGTAAAGATGAGACCTTTCTTACGTAATATATGTTAATAAAAATGTTAAACAATGCAAAGTTAGTGTGCAGAAAGAAAGGAAGCCTTTTCAGATTTGTAAGCAAATACAGTAGTTGTCAAAGAATGTCTTTTGCAAACCTGCTTCTTCCAAGTTTTCTCCATCTTCAGGATGCACAGCAAGCACTCTACCACTGAGCCGTAGCCCCAGCCCTATTTAAAATTTTGAAACAGGCAGGCCTTGAACTTGTGATCCTCCTGCTTTAGCCTTCCAGGTAGCTAGGGTTACAGGCCTGTGCCACCAGGCTTCACTTTATATCTCTTTAAGTAACCGTGGTCATTGTGGGTGAGACATTCCACAGTAGCTGGTGTCTTGTTTTGTTGTGTTGTGTTTTGCAATTAGAACTGCTCCATTAGCTTAGTAGATTATGTAGAATTTTAAAATGACTCAATAGTTAAGAGCACTTGTTAG